CAGGCGAGTCTCAAACCCGCGGGCTCAGGCAATCCACTCACCTCAGCCTCCCAAAGGCGCGGGATTACAGGCTGAGCCACTGAGCTGGCAATAAAACATATTTCAATACAGTGTTTCATGGACAACTAGCCCTTCCCCACCCCTCACCCCATAGTTTACCTAAAATATTGACTTGCTCTGAATGATCCTTCTGGGAATCCTTGCCAGATGCTCTCATAATTATCGCATTTATAGTATATATATTATTGTATATATAATGTTATAATGTTAGCAGTTACAATGTTCACTGTAAAGCTCTTTAAACTGCTGCACAATTGAAATTTTTTCCAATGAAATGTTGAGGAAAAAAAATACAAGATGGAATAAAACAGATGTCAAAGCAAAGTAGAAGTGTACAAATTGGGTCATTCTTGTCACACTCAACTAAGCCAGAAGGAAAAAGCAATGACACATGACATTGCTTCTTAGGCAGGAATTCCCTGCCAAGTCCAGCTGCTGAAACTGCCTGCTGTAACCCAAGACCAATTTTATCCACAGCTGCTGAGATAATTTGTGGTAACTCTAGGACTAATTCTGCCCACCACTCTTGCCCACCAATTAGAACTTGCCAGCTCCCCAGAACCTTGAGAATGCCAATGAACTTTCTCAAAGAGCAATGTGTAGCATTTCTCCTTTTGCTAAATCCTCCAACCTTCTCTTTGATCTTTGGATAGACTGAAGACCACCCCAAATTACAATTCTTTCTTCCCAGATAAAATGTTAAATTTAAGCCAGGCTCGGTGGCTCAGCCTGTAATCCAGCGCCTTTGGGAGGCTGAGGTGAGTGGATTGCCTGAGCCCGCGGGTTCAAGACCCGCCTAGGCAGTGAGACCTCATCTCTACAATAAATCAAAAAATCAGCCGGGCATGGTAGCGCGTGCCTGTAATTCCGGCTACTTGGAAGGCTGAGGTGGAAGGATCTCCGGAGCCCAGCAGGTTGAGGCTGTGGTGGCCGGGAGCGGCCACTGCACTCCAGTCTGGGCGACAGAGTGAGAAACCAACTCAAAAAAAATAATAATTAAAAAAAATTTTTTTTAAATTGTTAAATTTAGAGATTTGTCTCTATACTTGTATTTTGACTTCAACAGAAGCATGGAAGAAATGTCACTCCTGTATAAACGTACTATAAATGTGATAATTATGAGAGCATCTGGCAAGGATTCCCAGAAGGATTATTCAAACCAAGGTAAAATTTTAGGCAAATCGCCAGGCTTGGTGGCTCAGCCTGTAATCCCGCGCCTTTGGGAGGCTGAGGTGAGTGAATTGCCTGAGCCCGTGGGTTCGAGACCCACCTGGGCAACTTGGCAAGACCTCATCTCTACAATAAACCAAAAAAATCAGCCAGGCGTGGTAGCAGGCGCCTGTAGTTCCAGCTACTTGGAAGGCTGAGGTGGAAGGATCACCGGAGCCCAGCAGGTCGAGGCTGCGGTGGCTGGGAGCGGCCACTGCACTCCAGTCTGGGCGACAGAGTGAGACTCCGACTCAAAAAAAAAAAAATTTTTAGGCAAATCATGGGGTGAGGGGTGGGGGAAGGCTAGTAATCTATGAAATGCTGTATCAAACTGCTTTATCTTGAAATACGTATTTTCTTTAAAGTTTGCACATTTTAAGCGTATCAGTAAATCCCTAAGAAAATTTCAGCTTAATCTTTTTGTTCAGTATATACCAAATATACGTGGCTTCTCGCAGTCTTTTAAAATTATTTATACATATTTTAAATACTAGTGATTTATTACTTTTTTGAGATGCAATTCACATATCACAAAATTCACCCTTCTAAGAGTCAGTGGTTTTCTGGCATACTCACAAGGTTGTGCAACCATCACTGGTGTGTAATTCCAAAACACCTCCATCACCTCATAAAGAAATCCCGGGTCCTTAGCAGCGCTCCCCTCCCTACCCTCTCTCAGGCCCCGGCACCTGCTCATACACTCTCTGTCTCTGTGGGCTTGCCGATACTGGACATCTTATGCTGATGGAGCCGTATAGTGTGTGGCCTTCAGTGTCCAGCCTCTTTTACTTAGTGCAACATTTCCAAGATTCATCCATGTTGTAACACACATTCTATTTCATCCCTTCTATGACTAAATAATACATCAACAATTTGCTGAACCATTTATTAATGGACACTCTGGACTGCTTCCACTTTTCGACTTTTGGGAATCACACTGTGTACAAGTTTTAGCATGGATGCCTATGTCCAATTCTATCAGTGTGTCTCTAGGAATGAAGTGCTGGGCCGTAAGGTAACTCTGTGGTGGCTTCCGGAGCTGCCTGACTACTCCCCCAGGTGGCTGCACCACTTCACAACCCCCTCCTACGCATGCATGTCCCAGTCTCTCCCTGTCCCAGTCAGCCCTTGCTACTGACCCTCTTTTCAATAACAGCCATTCTAGTGGGCATGAAATAGTAGCTCACTGTGGTTTTGATTTGCATTTCCCTGATGAAAATGGATTGAGCATCTTTTCAAGTGATTATTGGCCACTTGTACATGTCTTTGGAGAAATGTCCATTCAGATCTTTTGCCCATTTTAAAAACTTGAGTTATCTGTCTTATAAGATAAGAATCCTTTATATATCCTGAATGCTAAATCTTATACAAAAGATGTGCAAATATATCCTCCCATTCTGTGCCTTGTCTTTTCACATTCTCAAAAGTCTCCTTTGAAGAAAAATAGCTTTTAATATTGAAAATGTAAAATTTATCTATTTTTTCTCTGTTGCCTGTATATCGCATTTAAGAAACAATTCCCTAATCCAAGGTCAAGAAAATCTATGTTTATGTTTTCTTCAAATAGTTTTCTGGTTTTAGTTCTTACACTCAGGTCTTTGGTCAATTCTGAGTTAATGTCTCATAACTTTTTGGAAATGAAAACTCACTACTGAGTAAACATCAATCAGATAGAAAGGATCATCCCCAAATATTCCAAACAGTACTAAAAGTCACTGGTAGAAGATACATAAGATATTTTAAATTAAAAGCCTTAACTCAGATAATACTAAATCACTGGTTCTCAAACTTCAGTGTACATTGGAAAGCCAAGGGCTTGCTCAACTCATACGGTAGGT